GATTATGCCCTATAGCAGAGGTAGTAGAGCTTCATCTAAACTCACATCAAAGCCTAAGTAAATATAGAGCACAGGGTGATATTGGGTCATATCACCCCATCTTCCCCTTTATTTTCCCCCCCATGTTAAATACTTGTATTTTTTTATGTATTTTTAGAGCCCATACTGCCCTGTTTTGTTAAACTAGAGTTCAGAAAACCTTTTAGGACATTTGATTTACCTGTTCAAACCTTTCTAATAACTGGTCGAATGAGTGTTAATTGTAAATATAGTAAATATAGCAATTTGCAATCATTAATGTGCATTCCTCATTCTCATCACAAAACTTAAATTAAATTTAGTAGTTCAATGTTCAATCTAAACCTATTTAAACAAATCCTGTGCAGGAATTTTTAAATGGGTCAGCAGAAAATTGCAGGACAAAAAGTTGTTTAGACAAATATGTATTGTGAAAATAACTACTCGTATTGATTTAAAATATTAATAATTATTTGTAATTATTCATAATATTTTCCAAGAAATTATTTGAATAATTTAGCTTTAGAATTATACAATACTTTATGCATGTATGTGTGTGTGTCACCTTTAAAACATTACTCTTATTTTCCCCCCCAAAAAATATTAGCTGCCTTAATAGTTTAGGAAGTTGTTTTTTTGGAAGGGGATCATTATATGTGGGGGTCCTTCCTTGGCAACAAAAAATGTGAAAACCACTGCCATATAAGTGGGATTTCCATAAGGCACCTCAAATAACCTTCCCCAGCAGCTTTCCACCTATTTTCCACCTCTAGGCATTGTTGTGATTGACACATGGGTTTGTTAATGATTATTCCATGTTTCCATTGCTGTACCTCCGTGAGCTAACAATAATAGTTCTCGGAACGTGCCACGGTAGCCTATATAGGCCTGTTTGCTCCCTTAAGCTAATCCCTCCTGAAAAAGAGTTCCACTCTACAGCAAACTGCGCACCTGCCGCCCTCCCTCCTTCTCTCTTGCAGCAGGACTGACATGAGGGAACACATCCCATTAGCCGCCTACGCTCGCTCTTCTCCTCATGGATAAACCAGCTGCACACCACATCCAGTGCACCCCCAAACAATGGCACTCAGAAGGCACATTCTTCTCTATTCATATGTTCTGTAGGCTCCTAACACCGGCCGCACATTTCTCCATTCTCTGCATAATCATTATTCAATATAGCTAAGCTTCCTCTGGACTGCTCGGGCAAAGCCTAAACAAGTTCTGTCATATGACGGCTTAAGTCCTGCTTATCATACACTTTCCCTCAGACTGTCATGGTTGGAGGAACTGAGACTAAAGCCAAACACCATTTCCAGTAAAGCCATTAGATCCTGGAGAGAGTAGGAGGACGTTATAATTGAGCTAAGACTGAGCAGATATATGATCTCTGCTGTAACACTATCTTCCTAAAGTACAATGCAGCGATATAAGAGATTGTTGTCATCAGGGGAGGCAATTAAACAAAGAAAGGAGAAAAGAAATAGGTGAATTGAACTACGGTATACAGTATATACCACTTCAATGTCAGTCGGCGGAATCGGTGGAATCAAAGCTCCCCTGGGAGGAAGCCGACTCCACTTCAAATACTGGTTTCGCTGGTACAGTATATGGGCCTGGCATTAGTTTCCTCTTAAAGTAGTTCACTCAAAAATAAAAATACTTTCTTGTGCAAAACATGAAGAGATTTTGAAAAATGTTTCAGCTGTTTGTGGATATAATGAAAGTCAGTGGCATCCAAAACGTTCAAGCTCCAAAAAGAGCATACACTGTGGTTCAAAAGTTTGAGGTTGGTAATATATTTTTAGTGCTGGGCAATGATTAATCGCATCCAAAATAAAAGTTTTTGTTTATATAATATATATGTGTGTGTACTATGTATATTTATTATGTATATATAAATACACAAACATGCACGTATATATTTAAGAAAAATGTGTGTGTGTGTGTGTGTGTGTGTGTGTTTTTATATATACATCATAAATATACACAGTACTCACATATTATATAAACAAAAACTTTTATTTTGGTTGCGATTAATCATGATTAATCATTGCCCAGTACTATTTTTTTTATGTTTTTGTATGTTATGCTCACTCAGGCTACATTCATTTGATCAAAAATACAGTAATATTGTGAAACATTTTTACAATTTAAAATAACTGTTTTCTATTATCTTTTTTAAATGTAATTTATTACTGTAATAGCTGTGCTACATTTTCAGCAGCCTTTAGTTTATAGCATCACATGATCCTTCAGAAATCATAGTATGCTATTTTGTTGCTCAAGAAACCATTCTTATTATTGTCAATGTTACAAACAGTTGTGATGCCTAATATTTTGAGTAAGCCGTGACAATTTATTTATTTTTAATTTTTTGACGTGATCTGAGCTAACTTTGCGATCATTAGATGTAATCACTATTGATATCGCAAATTAATGTTTTTTATTTTATTTTTTTTTCAGTTGGTCAGAACAAAACTGTTACTTGTTACTGTTACTGTGACATGTTACTTGTCTCACTTTTACGGTGAAACTTCTTATTTTGGACATACTTCTAAGACGTAGTATCTGTAATTCCAAGGTACAGTAAATATCTGTTAATTTTGACAGCAAATTTTGATTTAGTTTTAGTCCTATAAATAAATTTAGATTAATCTTTAGGGCTACTAAAGTTTTTCAGTCAAGAGCAGTGCATGATTTTCTGTCTTTCTTTTGTTGCTTGATTAACATCAATGACTCGGACAATAGCAACTAAATTAGGCTGCTATCCCTTTAAAACTGAATGCACAGCTGCAATGAATGCAAGGTACTGATACACGTTCTCCCTACTGTTTATGTTCACTTAAGACGTAATCAACTGTGTTTACGTGAATACTCGTCAAAACGGACAATTCGACATAATTTTGTGTGTAATTCTCCTTTAATGCGACGCGAAAGAGTACTCGCGCGCTGTGAGACGCGCTTTCTGTGTGTATGTTTTAGTGTCTGTGCTCAGAAAACCGGACTGAATTGAGTTCTCTCTTGCACTGTCAGATTTATCCATATGTCTGCTCTTCTCTTACTCCCACATATTGACATTTTTGAATGTTTTATGCGACGTGCAGCAAGTGTATGTTAGCTTATGTCCCGCCGGTTCATATGTATGTATCTAACCTCCGAACCACGCAGCAGATTTGTTCTGAATGAATCTCTTCCTAAATCGTCCCTCCCGAACATTTTCGTCTCATTTTTATTCGTTGACGAAAATGTCAATAGATTTACGTCATAGTTTTTGTAATTCAAAAAGAGTTTGTCTCATTGTCGTCGGTGAAAAAAATGTCGTTGATGAAAATTATTCATCAACGAAATGAACACTGGTAAATATCCACACATATACCTCAAAACATTAGATTCATCCGCGGTGAAGAGCTGTGCCGACGCACAACCCACGTAAAGAAGACAATTCTGCAAATAACTGCAATTGCAGGTTTTAAACAGAGATGGCGACAAAGAGGTAAAACTCACAGACTGCAGCATTTATTTGAAATAGAAACTTTTTGAAACATTGTAAATGTCTTTACTTTTGCTTTTGATCAATTGAATGCATCCTTCCTGAATGATTAATTCAGTATTATTTAATATTATGATTATTATTAATTTCCTTTAAGGAGAGCTGTGAGTATCTTAACATACTGGCAGTTTTGTGTCAGTAGGCTATAGCAACTGGCCAAATGTCCTTGGTGATGTGAAACGCTACGTTCTTATGTATTGTTATTTAAATCAAATTATCAGGATCTGAGCTTTTAAGTAGGCACACATGCTCCATAGAAACCAAAAACAGGAGTGTATTATGATTTAGGCCGATCCCTTCCTTACAAAGTCTTTTTTTTCCAGGATTACCAAAGCCATGGCCTGATTGAGAGAAAAATGCTAACATGTATGAGCAGGCGGTCTGACCCCTCCACTGATTTCTGGGCACACACAGGTGTGGTGATATACAGGAAACTATCCAATGCTGAACAAAAGATCCAAATGCAACCCCAAGGCACAAATGCATCGGCATTCTGGAACACATTGTTGTCGTGCACTGCACGTGCAACGTAGCTTTCAAATAACTTAAGCACTATTGCACTATTTACCCCGTGTTTATACAGAACGGACGCATAATTCTTAATTATTATTAATAAATTGTTCCCTGGTGGTCTTAAATGCCAAACAATGCAACAATGAAAGGCACGTACAGGATATCAGCTGTTTTAAAGCATAGTACATTTACGGTTATCACGATGGGAAACAATCAAACTTGTCGAGAGCTTTTAATACCCCGTTCTTTGTTGACGGGGTATTATCTTTGTCCTGCTGGTCACCCAGTCTCATTGCTGGGACATGTTTGCATAGAGCGCCACCCTTATCGGGGCCTATCTACCAAAAGCCGGCCGAGCCCGGCGAGTGACAGCAGGAGCACGTACAGTGGAGGGCAGATAAAGGCGGTGCTGTTTAAATAAAGAGCGGCGGCAGTAAAGTGGGCTCGGAGGAAGGCCACATTCTACCTCTAGTACAATGGAATCATTCTTCAGACCTGGGGACAGAATAATATTGCCCTTCTGAAGCGGGTGGCACAGGAAAAGAGGGAGCCTCGAGGGAGTTACCCAAAACTCTGGCTTTATTTACAGCCGTCCGGTCACTGACGTACTGCTGGCACCCATGGGAGGGCTGCAGAATCAAAAGCGCTGCACGACAAAACACCCTGGCTGGGCCTTGACTCTGGAAATCTTTTCTCAAGGCCTGGCAAGTGTGGCTGCCTCAGCCGAGGAATTGTTGTGCAGCAACAGGATCTTTTGATGGATTTACAGCTACATGACGTGTGTTTGCTTAAAGATTGATTTAGAGTTTTATTGAGGAGTACAATGGCTGAGCTGAAGATGTCCTTGTATGCTTGAAACACACAGTGCTTCTGAATTCATTTTAACACAATAAATTCTCTGGCTTTCAGGGGTGAAAATGGCAGTTCAGGACTCTGACCAATGGATGGCGCTTATCCCTCAGAAAGTTGCAGACTTATCACGTCCCTTCTGTAAAGACTGTCGCTGAAAAGTAAGTAGCTGTGTGATAAATATCTTACCTTAGATGAGAATCAGCTTGGAGGGCGTAGGCATTATACATATTAGTGTGTATGAGTGTGTGCCATATGTGATTAACAGTTTACTGTAGGACCATCTTTGACTAATCAATTTACACAAAATATTGATGTGCAAATGTACAGGAAGAGATAAGCAGCAAATAAACAAAAATTTTTCCTTGTAAATAGTGGTCATTGTGGATGAGAAGATACAGCATTCTGGACTGTATTTGTCATGATTTTCATCGTAACCTCCCATGCCTGTTCCAACAAAGACAAACCTTAACCTTTTATCTTTCTCAGTCTCTCACCTTTTTGGATTATGGAGAATTTTTTTTTTTTTTTACCACCGCAGGTGTCTTGCTCTCTCCAAGCCAGAGGTGAAAATTAATGCTGGTAGTTCAGTGGGGGTGTGAAACTGTTTCTTTACACTGATAATGAATTCTGCCCCATAGTGATTAAAAGAGGTTTTGAATACCCAGATGATTTCTGCATGTGTTTTACACTCAGTTTCGATAATAAATGTGATGATCTAAGGCTGCCTTTG